TGTGACGTCAGCTTTCCCTGTCTGTTGGCATGGGGCTTATTGTAAGGACTGAACCTTTTGAAAGAGGGAGTAAATCTCTTGAATTGGGTTGTCATTTTATGTGTTTCTGTTAATTCTTTCACTGCGGTTGACAAATCAGAACCAAAAAGGAAATCCGTGAGAGGCCTGGAGGCTGCACAGAGATCCTTGGTGTTGTCCGGCATTTCTGTTTTCCATACGTCTTTCCGACGCAAGTTAATTTCGGCATTGGAGCCTGCTAGCAGGCATAAACAGTCCGAGAGCTTCTCTAACAATTCTCGTCCAGATGGCATGTCATTTTTATCCCTCACTGCTCCCATGAGGCTGTTCATTACTTCAGTAAGGCATGTCATGCCTTTCACGAGAGGCCCCTGCACTCTCTGTAATTTCAAATCTCGGCTACGTAGGATCTCACCTGCGCCAGTCCAAACCTCTCGCTGACACTGCGGCACAACCAAATACTGGCAGTTATCCGGTCTTAAGTATTTCTCCTTCACTTCGGTCAGCCGCTGGTCAGAAATACCAGTTGACATCATAGTGTCGATTTTCTCTGCCAATTCCGCGTCTACAGCCGGGCCGCATGCTTCTTTCATTTTAAGCGACTGTGAGAGCAGAGCCAGCAAGTCGTCGTTGCCAGCTGTGGCTTCATTTCCCGCTGTTGTGTGGTCACGTGACTCGTCGAGATCGTCTTCATCGTCGACGTGTATATTATCATTCTCGTCCGAGGAATCATGTGCACCCATGTTTGCACTTATTCTTTGCACCACTGGCAAAATTGTGGACACCGCTTTTGTCAGCGTGTCTATCTGCGCCTGTAACTCCCGCGTCTGACATGTATTTTCGGCGCCATCTTTGTGTGAACCACCGCTGTAACCGACCTCATCTGAGGCGGGGCCTGAGTTCTCAAGCTCTTTATGAGAAAAAATAACCTCTTTAGGTTTTGTTGCTCCAGTATCGGAGACGGCCCTGTCTTGGGACCTAGTGGTCGTCCCCATCTTTGCCGTACCAGAAGCGAGCAGTGGTGTTTGGCGATCTTTATCTTTCTGCTTCTTGCCGCCATCCCTCTTTCCACTGGCAGATTTACTGCCGCTCGCTTTCTCTAATTTGCTGTCGCTTCTTGAGCGCGTCTTATCCATGTCCTCTATTATTGAACTGACCACATCAGTTGCTGATGTAGATTCAGCCATGGCGGTGACCTACTTATGGTCCCTTTGTATAAAAGCTGTTCTCCGCTGTTCACCACGAACACTGAATTGGAACAGCGTGTGGGAACGTAATCTACCGCTCGAAAGGTAGTAAAACAAAGTAATCAGAGATGGTAGCAAGTTGCTTGCTATCTCTCTATTGTAATATAGTCCAAAATATAGTCCAAAATATAAATCAGAATGAAGATTTTCTTGCAGCTAAAAACTCGCGTCCGATGACTTCCAGAAGTAAACTGTACATTGACCTCTGGGAAGCTTTGTGCATCTCACGTGATCTCATATGCAAATGAGGGTGGTAGAATAACATTCTTGTGAAATGTCCTGCATGCGATGCCCATGTTTGTATATGGACATACCAAGGCACGCCCATAATATATACTCATGGAATTTAAAAAATGCATCACTTGATATTTCAGTGAATATTTTTATAGGATGTAGTTTTACAGTAAAATATCTAGGAAAATATACATGTATGCTATATCCCTAGGGATTCTTTATTGATACACCTTCACAAATAAGGTACAATCAACGACAGTACATCTAACTATAGCAGAGTACAAACAAGTAAATGAATAAATATACATGATTTTGATGCGATATAGTTGAATACGTGTTTAAAAAAGGGCCGAAGTACAATCATAGAGGTAAAACAGACAACTCCAGCTACAGATACGTAAATTTGCAGGACGTGGAAACGCATTTAGACCCAATTAGGTAAATGTATAATAATACTAATAAATGAGTTTAGAAAGTGATATATATAAAATGTGTAATGATAATCTACAGGCGATGAATTTAAATACATACACTGAAAAGAGTATACAATGTATTAAGAGAGGGTTTGTTCCCTTTGTTGGAAGCATCTATTTACAAAACGCATAACCATTCTAAGAATATTTAAGTCTTGAGCACCCATAAGAAAATTAAACATTTCATTAAAGCTGAAGTCGCCTAGGGGTAGGAAATCTGACAGCTGCCCTCTGAAGGGATAACATGTTGAATCATATGCTTTGCACTCTAGCAGGAGGTGGAACTCATCTACTTTATTCAAATCGCAAAGTTTACAAAATCCTAGGTATAATACGATTAAAAAATAAAAAGATAAATTAAAAAGTAAATAAAAATTATATGCTATATTCCTAGTTATTATACGATTTAAAAAAAAACAACAATTGAACTGTGTTTTGATCGGCACTACAACATTCGACTATCAGCCTTAGCATCTCGTCGCTAGGGGCCGCCATGTTGGATTTCTCACTTCCGTCCCGCTGCCGTCTATGATCTAGTGCTTGGAAGTGGGCACGAAATGTCACTTTCATTCGGCCTCTAATAAGGCCACTGGCACTTAGTCTTTTATACTTATACATCATGCAAATAGCATTTTAAACTGCATGTGGTTCAATAGTTATGTTTCATCTTTTCTTGATAAGTTGAATGGACTTATACAAACTGTTGCCTTTTTTGATCACTTTTATTACCTCCGCCAAGGAGGGTTATCAATGTTTTCACCCCTGTCTGTCTGTTTGTTTGTCTGTTATCAACATAACTCAAAAAGTTATGGACCGATTTTGATTAAATATTCAGGAACTATCAGAAGTGGACCAAGGAAGAGATGATTAGTTTTTGGTGGTGATCCGGATCAATAATCAATCAATAATAATAAAAAATTGCTGCCTTGGCGGAGGTCTGCGCTCTCGGAGTGCTTTTCTTGTTACACGTTATTTTTTAATGCACTGGTACTAAAACTCATTCCTTTCTTTAGAAAAGAAGTAGGGATGATCCATTAAATTTTTTCATGTGAGGTACAGTATTCTGCAGTTCGTGACAAAAGACTATTTTTACTACTACATGTACATGTGAGTAAGGAAGTGCTTAAAGGTTAATTACATGTATGATCAAATTTTGCCATTTTGACCACTGGGGAATCTTGGGTGAATTACAGGTAAATGCTGCGTCGACTCGGTTTTATGTACCTGTATCATACAATGTACATGTAGGCCTACCAGTGCATGTGTTATCATGCATACGTAGAATAGTGATCTACATGTAACTGGAAACATTCTGTTGTAATATTAGGACAATATACAGGCCCGTAGCCAGCAATTTCAAAAGGGGGGTTCTTTTTCTGAAAAAGTGGACCTTTTTCCATAAAAAACTTTATGTACCTAGATCAAATTTTACCCAGAGTGGACCTTTTCCCACCAAAAGGGGCGGTTCTTTCGAACCCCCCGAACCCCCCCTGGCTACGGGCCTGATATACCCACATATACTGTACTACATACATGTGATGTACATGTACACTTGCAAATAAGCCATCCAATTAACCCATCCAAAGTTTATAACTTGAAATAAACATTACCTGTATTAAGTGAAGATCATATGTGATTTCGATATCTGAAACGTATTTTAAATGCTGGAGTGAAAAGTAATGTTGATTTAAAAGGATTTGGTGTTACTGTTTTTGACTTTTTTCTTTTCTTTGTTTCTTTTCTCGTTTTTTATTTCGGGAACCCCCTGTACTGTACAAGAAAAACTTGACATCAGTATAGGCCTACCCAGTTGATTAAACCTGACTTCTGTCCTGGATCCCTAAAATGATCAAAATATACAGACAAATAGGCCTACTGCAAATGTCTATATAGATCTTGCGCCTTCGTATCCATTTAAGGCCCTGCAGAATGTGTCACCTTTAAAAGTCGAGGGGAAGGCCTAAATTAATCCAATTTTTCGAGGTTTTTGTGTGTTCATTATAATGTTGAAAAATTACCTGTCGTTATGATATACAAATAACGTAAAATCTGAAGTTGCATAAAATCATTATCGGACCGATAACAGGAAAGCGCGCAGTCAGCCACTAGTACAGTAAGTAATTTAATATTGTACAAGCATTGTTTGTTAATCTGGCCGTCAATGTTAGCCGCCGGCGTGTTTTACACCTTTCCAGATTAAGGAGATATATGTTGCTCATCGGTTTCGGTACTAGTATATACCTTATTTGACCAGCCTATAGCAAGGAAAAGTGAATCTTTTTAAGAACAATGTGGAATCAGGGAGTTGTCCTATGTACAAGATCAGTAGGGCCTATTGGAGTTGTCTACTGAATTACTTGTTTGTAATAGTCATAGTATATCCAACATTTATTCAATGCTGTGAATTAACGGTTAATCAAATTTTGAATTCCAATGCTGTCTTCCTGCAAGGACCCCCTTCACCCGGTGTAACGTGACAGATTGTCTCTCATGATAGAGAGTCCGCTTTCCATTCATTTGTACAGGTAAGCCCCGCGCTTGATTTTGACCCACAGGCTATAGCCCTAATAAATATATAACAAAATGGAGGGCGGACTTTCTGTTACACCAAGGAGTTCCAATATCTGTTGTAACTCCTTGGTTACCCGGACCCTCAGTTTCGTTACACCGGTCTAATAAACTCTCCTAGACGACCTGTCTTGGAACTCTATTTTTTATGCATCATCATCATCATCATCGTCATCGTCGTCACTTTCACTACTAACTTCATACGAGTCATTGACACCTACATGTAGATTTGCATATTGTAAACCTGGATGTACTACAAGATCATCTGGATCGTACGTGTCATTGAACACAAGCTCGGCCCGGGGATTTCTGCTGGGTGGCATGTCAGCACCTGCGCCACCTACACCATCGTCATCACTCTCACCACATATCTCATACAGATCATTGACTCCAAGGCAGATCATCATGATGTTCTTGATGAAGAAAACCGAGATGTCGTGGCTCAGCAGGTGCCAGAGATATATGCGGATGGCCAAGAAGGGCACGTTGACCAGAAGTATGTGGGATAAAGTGTATATGAACTGGAATCGTTCAGAGAATGGCCGCTCCCCATAGAAACTATGACTCAGGACGACAAAGCAAAAACCTAAAAAAGAAAAACTGTTGCAACAATAAAATGTACGATTTAATAGTATAATTTGTTACAATTCTGGATGAAAATAAAGTGAAAAAGAGACACACCAAGATTAAAATAACCTGTGCAAATAAAAAGAAAAATTAAACCTTCTTTATAATACACGTGTTTTAACTTATACTTTAAAATCCATATAGAATAAAAAGACCACTTTAAGAATCTTTTAGTCTTAAACTTTAGTACATGTACAATACATTGATTGTTTGAATTACTGTACCTGGTATAATAAAGTTAATGCAAGGAAACGATATAATAAGATTTTCCAAGAAGAAAGGCAAAACAAGCCTGGACTCCTGCACAAACAATATCTCCAGAAACTCCACACTATCTAGGATATCAAACGGCACAGCAGCCACCAAGGTCTGTATGTAATGTTTTCTCTCCAGCGTCTGTCTCTTATTGTGCTGACTTAATACCATGAGCAGGAAAATCGGAGCAGTCAACGCCAGAGCTGTCTTCAGAAAGTTTGGTCCAAGGATGTCATCTTCATCCAGCCCTGCGGCTATACCGGTATGTTTGAAGATCAGCACCACCCTGGGGACCACGAGTCCAGAATAAGTAAACCAAGCTACATACCCCAGGGGCAGCAGACCCAAGGCACGCCCATGGCACAGCTGCGACTCTGACTCCTTGCTATTATTTTTGGTCTTTCTATAGTGCTCCACTGCCACCACAAATGCTGCCGTGAAGAGAATGGCGGACACAGCATCTGCCACGAACCAGCAGAACCAGTTTCCACCATAGTGGAGGTAGAGGAAGGTGTCCAGGATCCCTCCCTGCAGAAGAACGAGCAGTATGCTGACTATTCTGGTGATGACCTCCCGGGTCGTGTCACACACCTCGTAGCAAACTTTTCTGCACGGCATCGTTTTGTGTTAAACCTTGAAGTCAAATGATAGTGGCGTTTATTGAATGTCTGCAGCAGATGTGCTGCACATGTACGCACGCTCTAGAGTGTGCAGTAGTCGCTCGGAAATGTATGCCAAAAATGTTAGTTCCTGCAAGCATACCATGCACTATACCGTACATTATAGTGTGCGGCACGCGTGCAAGAAACTTGATGTTTCAATAGTAGTGCGGCAACTGTGAAGCAAACTTTAGATTTTGTCAGGAATATGCAGGAGACTTGGTATTTCAACATGCTATAGTGCCAACCAGCGGGCGGCAAGTGTGAACCAAACCAAAATGTCTAGAGTACATACATACACGTACATGTATGTTGCCTATATGCATACCACTTTGCAAGCCTCACATGAATGGAGATCATAATAATTCATATGACAACTTTCCGGCACGACTAACATCGTCATATCGGACATTTTGAATTCCCCCACTTACAAAATTATCAAATTCTTACAAATCCTCCAAAATAACACAATAAAATATTCATGTAGACCCACCTACGGTTGATCTCTATAGGCCTACGTTTATGGTCTAATCCGCTGAAGTAGTGCTTCATGCAATCCACGGTTACTGGGGTAAATATAGCCAAATGCAAGGGCGGACTGGGCTACCTGTTAAAATACCAAATAAAAACTCAGCGATAACGGCTATCATGTCATATATATGCACTTGTAGCTAACACAGACGGGATTTTCATGTAGGTCACGTAATCTGAACGCAACGGCTGTACGGAGGAGATGCGGTAATTTGATAACCTTTTGATATATTGACCTGCGTTGCTAGTTCTTTCGTTTTATTCGTCTATTACATGTACAGTACACGTAGCTGCTACTATGGAACGCNGCTCCATATGCTACGTCATCGCATCGCCATGGGTGGTCTGTCTGAACTGTGCGTGTTCACAAGCGTCCACAAGTTTTCTATGTATAACATGGTTGTAAAATCGGTTAACAGATATATATTTGACAAATAAAGGCATTTTAATTTGGAAAACAAGATACCTGTATAGTGCCCTAATACCCCCCCCCCCCCCAATACAGTAGGCTATGTCGACTACGAAAGACAAATGAACTCGCAGATAAAGCCTCTAGATGTGTCGCACCTAGAGTAAACACTTTGCATGTACCGTACCTGTATAAACCACCGTGTTTTTAACGTATTAAGATGAAGATACACTGTACATATACAAGCAGCTTTGTTTTAAACATACTCAAAACATATCCTATATCCCTCAGGGTGTGCCAACGCACACCAACGTAGGGCCTACGTTTGCCTGCGTACTTAACTAGGACCCTATAAGCATGAGCCTGCAATGCTTGCTGGACTGCTTTGATACAAATGCAAACATTTAATTTAACGGCTAAAATAATTTTTCGGATTTTTCAGATTTTCGTCTATTGACACAATAGCGCGAATGTTGGGTTACTTGCAACGATATTGTAAAAACTTTTCGTATAGCTCATTCTTATCGGTGTCAATGTTTGTTGTCTATTCAGCATCACACTTTGCTGGGGCAACGTTTTTGCGCGCGGTAACTTAAGATTGTGGATGCATATACCCGGGTTGCGTCTCTGGCTTTTGATATCAATCTTTTTTTTTTTTTTTAATTATATTTTCCCGTATTGTTAACGTCAAGCTGTGATCAGGGGAGTATTTTCTTATAAATAATAATATGTTTTTAATTACTTAAAATTAGTTCAATGCTCGTTTTTTTTTAGACATTTTCTTGGCGCTTTGTTTTCGGTAAATTTCGCCACCAGTGCATTTTCTAATACAATTATTTTTAAAAAATTTAAAGATGAATCTAAAACTAAATTCTCACAGCTGTGGCACTGCCACAATCTATGTTTATGGGACCTTGGGGCTGGAGGCTCCACACATTTATGTATTAATATTAAATTAGAATATGTTTCGGGAAGGGAACCGAAGAATGAAAAAAAAAGGGGGGGGGGGGGTGTACATGTACTTTCGACTTTCATCTTAACCGGAAGTTCACTTTCTGTCCTCTAAACCATGAAGATTCAGACCAGCGTAAACAAGACTTAGTGATGGGAATTTTTTGACGTCCAAATCGAGCCATTAAGCATGTCCGAGGAGTGAAAGACATCAGGTTTGTGTCTCACGTAATCTTATTATAGATGTGGTTTTGGTTCTGCAAGCATAAGTTATTATTCTTAGGGATATTCATAATTATATTTCAGCGCTTCCTTCATTCATTCTTTTGCTGCTGTTTTCGGCCTAAGAGGCTAATTAAGTTACAAATCAACTGCGATGCCAGTTCACACTGTTTATTTCGATACGTTTGCCTTGTACACTGTTCTTTGTTTTAAAATATATGTGTAAACTAGTTAATTATTTCTTAATGTGGTGCAGTTGTACACTGACTTACATATACAATGAAATATTTGTTGCCGTATTACCTACCATCACAGTACAGATACATGTACCAGTACACATGTACAGTGCACAAGCACCAAAATTCACGTGTTACTACTGTTTTAACAGTTAAAACATATTTGATATGTGCTTTATGTAGTGTCGGGTAAGTTGGTCACTACTAAGCAGGCACTAAGTGTTGGATATACAGTGTAAATTAATCATGAATATAATGGGTAGAAAGATGCTGGTGGATACCCAGTACTGTACATGTAGATATATAGATATAAATGAACTGTTTATGCCTTACATTTCTTTTTACTGCCATATATTTAATGTTTAAAATGTGTATTAAGAAGAACAATATTGATCACTATTTCATTTTTTTTTTTTAAATTTCAGGCTGATCAACAAAGATACATATATCACTGTGACTTAGGACCCCCCCCAGTCATGCCAGCAGGGAAGATACTAGTGGAGGTGTGCCACAAGTGTTATCCTTGGCCCATATACATAGCCTCCCTTCTGTTGGTGATAGCACAAGGTAATTAGCTCTGTGTGTGGTGAAATATTCTTAGGGCTTGTTCCAAATAAAAGTATTGTTCTATGTAAATTAATCCAATGCTTTGGGAATTCTGACTGAATGCATTGAGATTAACGGCATTAAGTAGAATACAGAAAAGCTGATTATACCAGTGTTAATCTGTTAATCTGATTGCTTTCAGCGAGAGTCCCTGCAGAGTTAGATCGATATACCTAAAATTGCCATTGAAATCCAATATCCATTAGTGCTTTTTTTATTGTAGGAAGTCTGCTAAATTTTGGCTACTTGGTCCCCCACTTCCAGGGAGACTGGTTCTGGTGGTTTGTGGCTGACATGGGCATTACAGCTGGCTTTATTGTCACATTTCATGCTGCTCACAAATTCCACAAACGCACAAAAAATGTGGCGCCAGGTCAAGAACCCAAACCTGAAGGACGTCTGGAAGGTATTTATTTACAAAAATTAATTTAAAATATATGCATTTGAGTTGTTCTCAAGCTTTTTCTTTCTCTCTCTTTCCCTCCTCTCTTTCTCTCTCTCTCTCATTCCCTCTCTTAAAGACAGTAATGGTAGAAATGTGTTTTGGTTGTGATGAAACAGGTCATTACTGCATTCAATACACATTTTGTCATATTTCATGGTTGCCCGTGCCAAAAGCTTTATAATCTTCCAGTTTGAAAAAAAAAATTGACAAGTTGGTTAACAAATGTGACTGACCCAAAATTTGTGGAAATCAGATTTTTTTGACACCATCACTTTTTTTGTAATGAAAAAAATATGCATTGGGCATTGGTTTGGTAAAATGGAATAAGTCATCCCAGAAAAATATTTACTGTACACTGTTTTTATGCACAAAAATCAAAGGCTGCTGCCTTCTTAACCCTCTTCCCAACACATTCAAACACACTCACACACAAGGAAAAATAAAAATAAGAAAGATCATTCAACTTCAGGTGGAGAGTAGCAGGGTCTTCTACCTCTGGGTTACCTGGCCTGGCTGCTGTACTCTGGGTTCCTAGTTACACACACACACACACACACACACACACACATTTTGTATGATATCCTATATGTTATGACACCACTTCAGGTGGAGAATGGCAAGGTCTGCTACCTCTGGGTTACCTGGCCTGGCTGTACTCTGAGTTTCTAGTAAACACGCACTCACACACACACACACACACACACACATTTTGTATGATATCCTATATGTTATGACTCCTCTTCAGGTGGAGAATGGCAAGGTCTGCTACCTCTGGGTTACCTGGTCTGGCTGTACTCTGAGTTTCTAGTAAACACGCACTCACACACACACACACACACACACACACACACACATTTTGTATGATATCCTATATGTTATGACTCCTCTTCAGGTGGAGAATGGCAAGGTCTGCTATCTCTGGGTTACCTGGCCTGGCTGTTGTACTCCGTGTTCCTAGTAAGCACACACATATTTTGTATGATATCCCATATGTTATGACTCCACTTCAGGTGGAGAATGGCAAGGTCTGCTACCTCTGGGTTACCTGGCCTGGCTGCTGTACTCTGGGTTCCTAGTGGCAAGGCTGGTGATCATCTTCAAAAACATCGCAGGAAACTTGACAGAAGATGTCTTCTTTGGTCCCAATTTCCTCAAGCTGGTGATGGCATTCACAGGTAATGGTGTAATGAATATAAGCTATCTAGTAACTAGTAATACAGATAGTCACTAATTTGAGCTGCAAGATTTTTTTTTT